AGGAGGGGGAGGGATGAAGGGGGGAGGAGGAATGGATGATGAACATGTGGTGACTGCTTAGAGAAACGTCATTGCTGTTGGCATGTATTTCTCGATATATGGGTATGTTAACCTCTTTAGATTTCTTCCTTTTTTCCACTCACTTGGATGCCGCAATGTAACTTTGACACTTCTTCAAATTTTAGATTTACACATCTTTCTATATTCTGTAGCGTATTGAACAGGAGGAGAGGGAAGATGCACTGGTAGAGAAGGGAGCTCACCCGCCTGAGAAGGATTCTCAGGTGGAGCAGATGAGGGCTGCGTTGGAGGAGCAGAGCCGTCAGCTGGCTGACGGAGAGGCTCAACTGCAGCAGATCAGAACTCAGCTCAAGGCAATAGCTGAGGAGCGAGATTACCTCCGTAAGGTAGGTTCAGCAGGGGGGAAAGGGTGGTGGGCGGGCTAAAGGATCTAACACTAATCTAACACTCATCACTAAACCTGTCTGCCATTGAGGCTATTTTGGCTGCCCTCTGGCGGTCAAAGAAACCTGTCGTGGGGGAGGGAGGGTGGGGAGGAGGGAAGAGGGGATGAGGTAGGATTATGGAGTTGACTCGAATGTCACCTTTCTGATTTGTTGGTCACTGAGCCTGTCATGGCTGCCCGCTGGGCGGTTGAAAGAAGCTTGGTGTAAGGAAGGAGCGAAAGAAGTGGGCCAATGATGGAGTGAGTCAACACCAGTCACTGCCATTCTCCCATCCCACTCTTCCCCTCTTCCCCCCCCCCCTCTCTCTCTCTCTCTTCTCTCTCTGTCCAGAAGTTCAAGAACCCGAGGTTCACAGATTCGCCATCCGAGGCAGGAGATAGGGGGGAGGGAGGGGAAGGGGGAGGGAGAGGAAGAGGGGGAGAGGGGGTTGGAGAGGGAGAGGGAGTGGGAGAAGATAAGGAAGGAGGTTTCGGTGGTATCGTCGGGTGCACATACGATCTCAAGCCCTATAGGATTAGAATATGGGATGCAAATACCAAAAAATGGCACGAGGTGGGTTATTACGAGCTCCACGACACTGCTGGCTTGTTCTCAAGGTTCAAATCCCAGAAAAACCCAAGTTTCTCACTCCCGCGCAGTTTACCGCAGCCTCCCAGATTGAGAGGAAGCTCAATAACATGAAGGGGTGGGAGGTGGTGGATGTCCTGTCGAACGGTTCGGCGGACGACATTGCGGATCTGATTGCGGGCAAGAAAGTGCCGGTGCCGAAGAGACGGGAGAGGAAGTGGGGTGAGTGCAGAAAAGCATGGGAGTGGGCAGGGGATGTCTGGGTATGGCTGCCAGCGCCGCCGCTGCCACGCAGGTCAAGGGAGGGGAGGAAGGCACGTGAGGGGAAAAGCAGTGCATGGAAGTGTAATTTGCAGTAGACTATGCAATGGGTGCGCTCATTCGGAAACCACTGGGTTCTATATCGACTTGTACAACTTGGTGGTTCTGCCTAGTTGCTCGTGTGTTTGGAAAACAGATTGCATATGATATTGGTATGTGTGATATCGATTTGTACAACTTGTGCGACTTGTCAGGTGGATCTCATGGGCCTGGAAGGCCGTGCTACCTGAGCTTATCAAGAAGGCGTTCCTCACCTGTGGCATCAGCAACGCGCTTGACAGCAGTGGGGACAACCTTGCCATGGCGCACAGGCGGAGCCAGCTGACCCATGAGGTCGATGTGGATGACGACATCATCGCCAACGGATTCTTTGGCAACAACTTTGAGGAGCCGGAGTCAGACGACGAGTAGAAACTAGGTAGGAAAGTGGTAATGTGTACTGAACATTGGTAGAGACGCATGTGTAGATTTCATGTTACTGTAGGGAAAAAAAATTACCGTATATTCAAAAATAGTGCAAAGATCACCCCTTGGGGGAGTGGGATGCGCTTATAAAAAGTGTAGGGATTCTAGGCTCCAGATAGAAGCGACGGCGCCTTTAACCAGGCAGCGCTACTATCCGAGGCGATATGGTAAAATTCTAACTTTCATAATGGCCTCGTCAAGATGTACTCTAATTTAACATTGCATAAAATTAATCTTGTGATTCATGCACTCTATTGTGTTCTTGTGTAAAAGAAACTATAATTTGTTGGTTTTCGCAAAAGTTCTGAACCATGCGCACGCGGCACCAGCCGAGTCCTCTCTCTTTGGGGCGCACTCAAGGCCTGCTTCTTCTTGTTTACACCTTCGGCCATTGACCTTCGGCCCATTGACCACGCAACTTTTCTTATTTCTACCCGAACCTCCCCCTTCACCACTCATATGACCTCCATTTGTCTTTTCTTGTCCATCATACACCTTTGTCTTCTCAATCTCTTTGTCCACCGCTTTCTTCCCCATGTCTGTTTCTCACTTTCACGTTGTCTACAAATTTATCATTGCCGTTTTTTACCACCTTCCCTTTCTCCTTGACAGGGCCACTTTTACTTGTAATTTTATAATGATATCGCCATGATGTACTACAATCTATCGTTACATACGGATACCCTTTTTTTGTTTCTTTTTTTTTTCAAGAAAAATCTGAACCATGCACGCGAGGCAGTAGCGAGGTATCTCGCTTTGGACCGCACTCAAGGCCCGCTTCTCCTCGTTTGCGTTAACCTTCGTCTCATTGCCCACTCGCCTTTTCTTATTCCTACTCGAACCTCCCCCTTCACCACCCGTATGACCTCCACTTGTCCTTTCCTGTCCATCATCCACCTTTGCCTTCCCTTTCTCTTTGTCTACGGATTTGGTCTTTATGTATGTTTCTCCTATCACATTATCTACAGAATTCCCTCTGCCGTTTTTCACGACCTTCCCTTTCCCTATTTGTCCTAGTCCCTCTTATATGTTTCTAGATTACTTTCCTTGTAGATTAATTTATCTCTCACTTCCAGCACCGTACTTTGTATACCTAGTTATACATCCCATTTTCTCATCATTTCATTAAACATAGTCAACCTACTTTCTTCTTGTCTATCTAACACCAGCACGAGCGGGGCGTCCGCCACGTACAGCGAGCCAAGAGGCTGCCCAACTGCCGCGGTCCCCACGCATGGCAGCTGCGCAAGGGGGCACCGAACGGAACAGCGCCTTCGTGGGCCTCGCAGTCGTACTGGTACTTTTATAATGGTCTCGCAATGATCTACTCCAATCTATCATTACATACGTATACGAGTTGTTTTTTTTTCTTCTTCTTCTTCTTCTTCTTCTTCTTCTTCTTCTTTTTTTCTTCTTCTTCTTTTCTTTTGACAATATTTGAACCATGCACGCGTGACACTAGCGAGTTATCTCGCTTTGGACCGCACTCAAGGCCCGCTACTGCTTGTTTGTGTTAACCTTCGCCTCGTTGCCCACTCGCCTTTTCTTATTCCTACCCGAACCTCCCCCTTCACTACCCATATGACCTCCACTTTGCCCGTATGTCCATCATCCACATTTTCCTTCCCTTTCCCTCTGTCTACCGATTTGTTCTTTATGTATGTTTCTCACTTTCACATTATCTACAGAATTTCTTCTGCCATTTTTTACGACCTTCCCTTTCACATTGACAGTCACACTCATTAGTTTATTTCTTGATGATACTCCACCATGTTTCCCTATTTGTAAATTTCGGCATTTATATAGTATTTTGAAGCAAGAATTTGGTTCAGAGTTTTTGCGGGAATATTGTGATAATTCAGTTTTTACTAAGGTCAAGGGGAAATTAGTTACAGCTATAGCCTCTCCAGTGGTTTGCGGTTTGGATCAGTTGCACACGGACGCCCGTGTCTCATCAAAATTCAAAGAACCACACGACCCCCTTAAACAAACTTTCGACTGGAAAAACACCAAAGATGAGGTTTTTAAGGTGCATGATAGAGCTATTGAACAAGTTGGTCAACCTTGGATACAATAAATCGAGAAAGCTGTTGCTATCGGTGTCTCTCACGGTATAGGCACAGTCGTTGAAACCCTATCAAAACCTAACTAAATAGAGTTGTTTTTTTGTTAATTCAAAATCCATTGTAGAAAAAAAAATTATGATGGTAGCCGCTAGTTAACACTAGCGGCTATTTTTCTTTCTATTTTTCAAGTCGTTTTTGTTTTTATTTCTTTCCAATATGTTTCTAGATTACTTGTCAAACATTATATGTGTTGTGCTTGTTTAGGCTGCAGTGGGTTAGCCTATAGGGGGTACACAATTCTAGGGTTAGGTACTTGTACTCATTTCACTGCTAGTTCACTCATTCCTCGTTCAGTTATTCTGACATGGTTTCAGAGCAGGTCCTTCGCTAGGACCTAAGTTTTTTTTTCGGGCCCACCTCTACTACCTACTTCCTACCTACTGTCGGAGTGCTGCGTTAGCGCCTCCCCCTCAGCGCCCTCGTGCGCCCTCGTGTACGGCCCCTTAAGGCCCCGTCGACCCCGCACGCTGCCCCTTAGTGGCCCCGTCGCACCCGCGCGCGCCCCGATTCCGGCCCGCTTGGCCCCGTCGACCCCGCGCGCACCCCGTTTAGCGGCCCCGCGGCCCCGTCGACCCACCCTAGAGGCCCCTCGGCCCCGTGCGCACCCCGTGTAGCGGCCCCGCGGCCCCGTCGACCCACCCTAGAGGCCCCGCGGCCCCGCGCGCACCCCGTTTAGCGGCCCCGCGGCCCCGTCGCCCCACACCTAGAGGCCTCGCGGCCCCGCGCGCACCCCGTTTAGCGGCCCCGCGGCCCCGTCGACCCTCAACTAGAGGCCCCGCGGCCCCGCGCGCACCCCGTTTAGCGGCCCCGTGGCCCCGTCGCCCGCCACCTCACGGCCCCGCGACCCTCCTGCGCCCCGCTTAGCGGCCCCTCGGCCCCGTCGAGCCCCGCTTAACAGCTCCGCGCAACCGAACCGAGCCGCGCCGCCCTACCTGAACCGAGCCGCGCCGTCAGACCGAGCCGCGCCGCCCGTACCAGCAGCCCCGTCGATACTGCTGCTCCTATTTCTTCTACGGCTACTACTACTGTTCCTACTGCAACTACTGCTGCCACTATGGCCAGTCCTCCCGTACTTGCTTTCGATGCTGAGGGCCGCCCAGTGAAATTTGACACCTGGCTAGATGACCTGCACCTCTTCCTACAGCTCACTGCCAAGGAGGATATTTCGCTGTACGATCATGCCCTCGGTCACGCTACTGCCCCTCCTACCACTGCAGACAGCACTCAGCGCTCACAGTGGCAGACTCGTGACGCCCACGCTCGCTTCGCTATTCGCAACTCCCTGCCACTAGATGAGCGCGAGCACTTTGGCCAGCACAAGACTGCTAAGGACCTGTACACTGCTGTAGTTGCTCGTTACTCCTCACCTGCCTCTGCCGCACTAGGCCGCCTCACCCTCCCCTACCTGTTCCCCGACCTGGCCTCCTTCAGCACAGTCGCTGACCTCATCACCCACCTCAGGACCAGTGAGGCCCGCTTTCGCGCTGCTATGCCTGACGAGTTCCTTGCCAGCAACCCCCCCCCGCTCTGGATCACGCTCTACCACATCGTCACCCGCCTCCCTGACTCTCTGCGCGCAGTCAGGGATCACTTCCTCGCTCGCTCTCCCACTGAGCTCACCATTGCCCTCCTCGAGAAGGAATTGCTTGCAGCTGAGGCGAGCATCGTCGCTGTAGGCACCTCTCGTGGCGACCCCCGCACCCCGTTCTTTGAGGGGTGTTCCCCTTCCCCTCTCCTCCCCTCTGTCGCCTCTGCTGCTGCTGTCGACCTCCTTGGTGCTGAGAAGGTCGGGGCTGCGTCTGCTCCGAGCGGGCGCCGCAGGGGCAAAGGGGGCAAGGGTGGAGGTGGCGGCGGGGGAGGCGGGAGTGGTGGCGGTGGGGGTGGCGGTGGGACTGGAGAGGCTAGTGGCGGCAGTGGGGGTGGTGACAGCAGCGGCGGGAGCGGTGGCAGGGGCGGAGGCGGCAGCGGAGGCGGAGGTGGTCGTGGCGGCGGCAGGGGTGGAGGTGGCCGGGGCGGTGGCGGCGGCGGTGGTGGTCGTGGAGGCGCTGGCGGTGGACAGAGTCAGCAGCCCGCCCCGTCGCTTCAGGCCGCCCGTGAGTGGTATGCGCAGCGTGGCTTTACCTGCACGTACGTCATTCGCACTGGTGACCGCACTGGCCAGCAGTGTGGGAGGCCGCATCCCACACAGCGCTGTTTCGCGCGCCTTACTGACGCGTGGCGTGCCCAGTTTCCTGATGCCACTGACCTGCCCCACTGGGCTGATCTGGAGAAGAAGGGAGTTGATATCTGGGCTTTAGACTTTGATGCTATTCTCACTGCCATGTATGCGATGTTTACTAGTGGAGAGGGTGCTCAGTACTTGCGTGTTCCGCCCGACCCGGGCATTCTGACCAGTCCGGCTGCCGCTCTAGGTGCTAGTGAGTCTGCTGCCCCAGGTCCTGGTGAGGCTGCTGCTCTAGGTGCTAGTGAGTCCGTGCCCTCTGGTACTGAGTCGACTGCAGCACTGCACACCTTCACACTGGACTCAGGTGCTTCTCGCTGTTTCTTTTGTGACCGCACTGTCCTTGAGCCGCTTGCTCGGCCAGTTGCTGTCTCCCTCGCTGACCCCTCTGGGGGTCCGGTCGTTGCAACCTCCTCCACTGTCCTTCCTTGTCCTGCGGTCCCGTCAGGCACACTGTCAGGCCTCTACCTCCCCTCGTTCTCTACGAACTTGGTGGCAGGTAGTGCGCTCCAGGACGGGGGTGTTCACCAGTTCACCCCTGCTTACGAGCGCGTGACCCACTGCACGTGTGCTCGGACGGGCCGTCACCTGGCTACCTTCACTCGGCAGCCGGGGTCGGACCTGTACACACTGACCACTGAGTCCCCTCAGGTAGCTGCGTCCGCGTCTGCGTCTGCGTCAGGTCAGCTGTCCGCCCCCTGCTCGTGTCGCTCTCTGGCGCATGAGACTGTCCTCTGGCACCACCGCCTTGGTCACCCGTCTGTGCAGCGCCTTCGGGCCATGCACAAACGGGACCTTGTTGCTGGTCTTCCCAGGGTTCTCCCTCCCCTCCCACCCTCGCCTGCTCCTCCCTGTCTTCCCTGTGTCGAGGGGCGGCAGCGAGCCGCTCCTCACTCCTCCTCCTTCCCCCCGACGACTGCTCCTTTGCAGACGCTCCACATGGACGTGTGGGGCCCAGCCCGCGTCCGTGGTCAGGGTCAGGAGAGGTACTTCCTGATTGTTGTTGACGACTTCTCGCGCTACACCACGGTCTTCCCCTTGCGCACCAAGGGTGACGTCCCTGATGTCTTGATCCCTTGGATCCGCAGATCTCGTCTCCAGCTTAGTGAGCGTTTCCGCTCCGACTTCCCTGTCCTGCGTCTGCACTCTGACAGAGGTGGGGAGTTTTCCTCTGGCCTCTTGGAGGCCTTCTGTCAGCAGGAGGGCATTGAGCAGTCGTTCACGCTTCCGGCCTCTCCACAGCAGAATGGGGTTGCTGAGCGCCGCATTGGCTTGGTCATGGAGGTCGCTCGTACCTCCTTAGTTCATGCGGCTGCCCCCCACTTTCTGTGGCCGTTTGCAGTCCGATACGCTGCGCATCAGCTCAACCTCTGGCCCCGTGTCTCCTTACCGGAGACCTCTCCGACACTGCGTTGGACGGGAGAGGCTGGCGATGCGTCGCGTTTTCGGGTCTGGGGATCTCGAGCTTTTGTTCGCGATACGTCCGCGGACAAGCTCTCCCGTCGAGCTGTCCCCTGTGTCTTCCTTGGCTTCGTCCCGGACGCGCCTGGTTGGCAGTTCTACCACGCCACCTCGCGTCGTGTCCTGGCCTCTCAGGACGTCACTTTTGACGAGTCCGTCCCCTACTACCGCCTCTTCCCCTACCGCACTGCCCCGCTCCCCCCCCCGCCTCTCTTCCTCGCTCCAGGTGCTGAGGTACCAGACCCCCTCCCCCCTCAGGGTGCCGCTCCCTCAGGTGTGTCCCAGGTAGACCCGGTTGAGCCTGTCGAGGTAGCTGTTGACTCTAGTCCTGCTGGGGGTGCTGAGCCTGACCGTGAGGAGTCTGAGGGTACTGAGCCTGGGGGTGCGGAGCCTGGGGGTGCGGAGCCTGGGGGTGCGGAGCCTGGAGGTGCGGAGCCTGGGGGTGCTGAGCCTGGGGGTGCTGAGTCTGGGGGTGCTGAGCCTGGAGGTACTGAGCCTGGGGGTGCTGAGCCTGGGGGTGCTGAGTCTGGGGGTGCTGAGCCTGAGCGTGCTACACCTGGAGGAGCCCTCTCCTCCCGGCAGCTGCAGGAGAGGTACCTACAGTACTGCCGCCTCCGGAGAGGTGCTACTGGAGCTCGCACCAGTACTTCCCCTCCTGCCCAGGAGCTCCCCCCCATTCAGCAGATCTGAGAGTGGTACACGCGGCGCTGCAGTCTTCGGAGTGGTGCTCCTGGTGCTGCGGACCCTGGGGGTGGCGCTGCTGCTGGTGCTGAGGACCCGGGCGTTGGAGCTGCTGCTGGTGCTGCGGACCCGAGCGGTGGCGCGGCTGCTGGTGCTGAGGAACCGGGCGTTGGAGCTGCTGCTGGTGCTGAGGACCCTGTCGCTGGTGTCCCTGCTGGTTCTGGAGACGCTACGCGACCGCGACCGTACTTCGTACCACTTCTTCAGCAGGTTCTTGGTCAGGCTCCTCCTCCTTGTCCTCCTTCCTCAGTAGAGTGTCCTCCGCCTGTCCAGTCACAGTCACAGTTCCCGCCTGCCTCGCCTCTCCCTGCTCCCTCTCCTTACACTGGTCCCACGGGAGGTCTTACAGAGCGTCGTGAGCCTGAGTCTCGTCCTGCGTCGCCTGTTCGTACTGCTCGCACTGGTCGTCGTGTCCCACGTGAGCGTCCTCCTCCTGTCCCTGGCACTCACTACATGACTCTGCGTCCCTCCACTGCTCCTCAGCGTGTTCCGCTGCCGTCTCCTCCTGCGTCCTCTCTGCCTACTCTTCCTGATCCGGAGTCTGACTCCCGTCGTGCTGCCAGTCCCACTGTCACCCGTCTCCTCGCTACTGTTGTCACTGACCCTACCTTTGAGTCCTCTGCTGCGTCTGCTCTGGTCGCTGAGTTGATAGACTTTGCTGCCCGGTGTCGTCTAGACTACGCCACTAGCCTTGTTGCTGAGTCTGAGTCTGAGTCTGTCTGTCCTCCGTCCGTCGGGGGTGAGTGTGCTCTTGGCACGGACGTCCTTGAGGACAGACAGGAGGAGTTCCAGTGCTTTGCTGCTGGTGCTGAGACCCGGATGCACCAGACATCCCGACCCCGCGCACTTACGCTGAGGCGATGGCGGGTCCCTACTCCTCTCAGTGGCAGACAACCATGGACGCAGAGATGGCTTCTTGGAAGTCCACACGCACCTACGTCGACGAGGTTCCCCCACCTGGGGCGAACATCGTCAGTGGCATGTGGATTTTCAGGGTGAAGCGGCCACCGGGTTCTCCTCCGGTCTTCAAGGCGCGCTACGTGGCTCGAGGCTTCAGTCAGCGAGAGGGAGTTGACTTCTTCCAGACCTTCTCCCCCACCCCGAAGATGACCACTCTTCGGGTGCTGCTGCACATAGCCGCTCAGCGTGACTACGAGCTTCACTCGCTTGACTTCAGCACTGCTTTCTTGCAGGGCAGCCTGCACGAGGAGATCTGGCTGCGCCGCCCTCCTGGCTTCACTGGGTCGGTTCCTCCTGGTACCCAGTGGAGGCTTCAGCGGCCGGTCTACGGTCTCCGCCAGGCACCACGTGAGTGGCACGACACACTGAGGACGACACTTGCGGCTCTTGGGTTCGCTCCCTCTACTGCTGACCCGTCACTGTTTCTACGCACAGACACCTCACTGCCGCCGTTCTACATCCTCGTGTACGTCGACGACTTGGTCTTTGCCACTGCTGACACTGCGGCACTCGCCCACGTGAAGTCGGAGCTGCAGAGGAGACACACGTGCACAGACCTGGGTGAACTGACAAGCTATCTTGGCTTGCGGATCACCCGGGACAGAGCACGGCGCACCATCACCTTGACTCAGTCACACATGGTGCAGCAGATCCTTCAGCGCTTCCGCTTCACGTACTCCTCGCCTCAGTCCACTCCTCTGCCTACCGGTCACTCGCTCTCAGCTCTGCCTTCGGATGAGTCCGTAGAGCCAAGTGGCCCGTATCCAGAGCTTGTGGGCTGCCTCATGTACCTGATGACCTGCACTCGACCTGACCTTGCATACCCTCTTGTTGGTGTAAGGGCCTAATAAACTCAAGCTATTAGGACTTAATCAAACTTAAAACCTCTCCTCGGGGTCACCTCCAAGGGTCCCTGGGTGCCTGGTACAAGACCAGCCCCTATCCTCGGGTCCGAGTTTGTAGAGAGAGGGATCAAGAAGGACTTAGTCAAAACAGCAAGAGTACCTTGAACGTCGCGCAGCGTGCCGTGCAGACCGTCGGTCGGATTAAGCTGAGAATTCGCTATATCGAAGCTCGCTCCAAGAGCTTTAAAATGAGCCAAGTTGCCTCGCGAAAAGTTCTGCCATCACTAAGTTATGGCTCGGACAGCGTTTGCCTAGCGTTGGAGTGCTAGCATACTAGCGTTGACTCGGGTAGCATTCCGCCGTCGAATAGCGCAGAAACGAAATTCCAGTGAGGAAGGAATTCGCTTGAATCAATTTGACTATGTTCAGGTACAAACAGAGAAGGATTAAATAGTTCTAGCTAGCAAGGACCTTGGGAATCAACCTGGGAACAACCAGGGATGATCCCAAATAATTCCAAGCAACAGAACCAACCTGGCTGGACAAAATAGCAGGTGGTAGGTTGGTAAACAACCTCTGGTTCTGTTTTTCCAACCTGGGAAAACAACAACCAGGTTCAGGTTCTAAAAACAGAACCTGTTTTGTCTTTGCCCAACCAGCCAAATGCTGGTTCCGCTGGTTTCCCCTGGCCTTGTAGCATGCAGATACAGACAAACAACATCCAACCTTCACCTAAATTGTACCCCTATAGTGCCTTCCCTACTACACTATAGTTAACCAAACAAAACAGTACAATTCCGAGTTGGATAGAACTGAATCTGCGCAATCAACTCAACCGAACTGCAAAGCTTCCATCTTGGGTTCCTTTGCGAGCTCGTCCTTCCTGCTTGCACTGTTCATAGCGCATACAATGTTGTGCCAAAGCGCACATTGCGCGAGTACCTGCAAATGCATCAAGCGAAAAATGCGAAAGCAAACAAACACACGAACACACCATTCACACGCAAATGCATTCGCACACGCATTCTCGTACAAACAGACGGCAGGATGTCGTGCAATGTGCATTTGCACCCAACACACTCCCCCTCAGCCTGCCGGCTGCATCCCCGTCATTCCATGCTAGTTCATGCTCATTCCACTCATGCGCACACAACGCCAATGAGGCTCATCCGCAAGCCTCTTGGTGAGAAAGTCTGCTGGCTGCTGGTGAGTCTTGATGTAGATCGGATGCACCGTCCCCCTCTTCACCTCCTTACGCAGCCAGTGCCACTTGATACGCATGTGCTTGTTCAGGCCATGAAGCACAGCGTTTCTGGCCATCCCAAGAGCCCCCTTGCTATCACAAAACAGCGGCGTAGCAACTTTCTGCTCCTGGCCAATCTCCTCTAACAGCCTCCTCAGCCAAATCACCTTCTTCACCCCATGGAACATCGCCATGTACTCTGATTCTACGGAAGAGAGTGCCGTCTCCGTCTGCTTCTTGGACCTCCAACTAACAGGTCCTCCCCCAACTACGCAGATGTATCCTCCCACAGATGAGGAATCCTCCTTCTCAGAAGCCCATGTAGCATCGGTAAAGCAAGTGAGAAATAGCTTGCCTTCTCCAAGCCTCTCCCCCTTCTCTTTCAGCACCTCCACCCCTTTCTGCTTCACCTGTGCAGATGCGGAGTATTGAACTCCAATGCTTGGGTGAGAGTTCAGGTACTTCACCACACGCTCAGCTGCATCCACCTGCTCCTCTGATGGATTCTGCACCACCCTAGCCAGCTGCCCAACCGAGAAAGAGATGTCGGGCCTCGTGTGAACTGCTGCATACAAGAGGCTGCCCACCAAGGACTGAAATTGCTGCTGCTCTTCAGCTTCAACCCCTTCATCCTCTGCAGCCTTCACAAGCTTGAATTCTGCTGGCAGGGGAGTTGCAACCTTGCGCTCATTCTCAATCCCATACTTCTCCCCCAGCTCCTTGATGAACTTCTCCTGGTGCAGCTTCAACCACCTGTGATCTGGATCCCTCTCCACGTGCATCCCGAGGTAGTACTTTACCTCCCCAAGGTTCTTGCACTTGAAGTTTTCCATCAGTTGCTGCTGCACTTTCTGGATCTCCTTCATGCTGCTGCTGAAGAGAAGAATGTCGTCCACATAGACCAGAAACAGCACCAGCTTCTCCCCCTCGCCCTTGAGAAAGAGGCTCTCATCACAGCTGCTGGTCCTGAATCCCATCTCCTCTAAAACAGCTGCCAACTTCTGGTACCAGCAGCGTGGCGCCTGCTTCAAGCCGTAGATGGACTTGTTGAGCTTGCACACCCTGCCTGTACCATCCTCATACCCAGGCGGCTGCGTCATGTACACATCCTCCTCTAAAATCCCATTCAGGAATGCCGTTGAAATATCCATCTGAATGATGAATTTCCCACTAACAGCTGCATCTGCCAACAAGACACGGAGGGTAGGGGGTTTGGCAGTGGGAGCAAAGATCTCGTTGAAGGAGAACCTTCTGCATAAACCCCTTCGCCACCAGCCTACTCTTGTAGATGGTGACCTGCCCCTTGTCATCGGTCTTGATCCTCAGCACCCACTTGCATTGTATCGCTTTCTTCCCATCAGGCAGCACCACCAGATCCCATGTCCTATTCTCCAGCAGACTCTGGTACTCAGCATCCCTAGAAGCCAGCCACTTGTCCCTATCTGGTCCAGCTAATGCCTCCTCCATGCTAGCTGGTTCCTCTGGTGCAGGGGCAAGAAAACAGTACGCAGGCTCATCCTCCTCATCCGGGTCATAGCCATGAGGTAGAATCAGCAATGCCTCTTCGGTCCCTAGCTGCTGCTCTGCTGCATCAGTTCCTGCAGTCAGCTTCTTAGTAGCCATACGGGTACGTCCTGGCCTGGAGACGGGTGTCTCCCATCCCTTCATAACGACACCCTTCGGCTTCTTAGTTTTTCCCTGCTGCTTCTCTCCTCCCTCGGGTCCAGCAGCTCCACTAGTGCTGCCGCCAGTTTCCACACCATTTTCTCCACCAGCAGATGCCTCCTGTATCTTCTCTCCATCACCATTTCCAGCAGCTGCCTCCTCTCCCTCCTCCCACACACTAGGAGTCAGGTCCAGCTGCATGGTGATCTGCTCCATCTGCTGGGACACCCTTGCCTCCGGCTGTTTCTCCCAGCTCCCATACATCATGCCCTCAATGAATTTCACATCCCTGCTGTCAAACAACACACCCTTGGAGAAAATTCCCACAGCAGCCATCCCTTGCTCTCAGCAGCCAGCCCCAAATGCACACACCAGATTGCACTCGCCCCCAACTTACTGCGGTAGGTCTTGGGGACGTGGGCGACTGCCATGCAACCGAACACCCTCAGCATGTCCACCGGCGGCTTCCTCCCAAGCCACCTCTCCAACGGCACCCACGAGTCATCCCCAACCTTGGTGAGCACCCTGTTCCTAGCGACAGTGGCGTGCCGGACAGCATGAGGCCACATAGAATTGCTCAGCCCAGATTCTATGAGCAGCGCCCTAGCTGTCTCCAGAATGGTCCGGTTTGCCCGTTCTGCTACACCATTGGACTGTGGGGTATAAGCCGTGGTCAGCTCTCTCTGGATGCCCTGCTTCTTGAGCCAGGCCGTCATTTCAGCTCCAAGGAACTCACCACCCCGGTCTGTCCTAATCCGCTTCACTACACACTCCGCCTGCTTCTCCACGAATGGCAGCCAATCGTCCCGTATCGTGGAGGCGGCGTGGTCCTTCTGCTTCAGCGGATACGCCCACATCAGCCTGCTCCAGTCATCCACAATTGTAAGAAAATACCGCTCCCCCTTGTGCCCTTGCACCGGCAGCGGCCCCACCAAGTCCATGTGGACCAGCTCCAAAGGCTTCTTGCTCCTGCCAGCCACACTATGGAAAGGGAAACGGGTGAACTTTGAAAGCAAACAGATTTCACAGTTGTCATCGGGTGGCTGTCCGTTCAGCTTCAGACCCTTAACGGCTCCATCCTTCTCCAGCTGCTTCAGCAAAGGCATTGCCACATGCCCTAAGCGCCGGTGTGCCGTTGCCCAATCTGTCTCCCCAGATCTGGCCGACACTTTCACACCAACCCCTCCAACGGCATTGCACTCCCCCTGGGATGCAGACCCCTCTCCAGCCTGCCCCCCACCATGCCACGCCAGGGCCGGCAGCTGCCACATAGATCTGTACACGTCCTTGCTCTCGTGCAGATCCCAAAGCACCCGATTGCCCAGCTTCCCCTTATAAGTGCGTGCCCCATCCGTGTTGGTGTTCACCCCAGCCTTGCCAAGCTTACGGAGGGAGATAAGGTTGGCCTTCAGGTCGGGGACGAAGAGAACGTCGTGCAGCACCACCGGCTTGCCATCCGCTCCCTTAAACGCAGCTCGTCCCGCACCAGCCACCTTCAACATGTGTCCAGAGGCGGAGCACACTTCATTGATCGGTGCAGCTCGTACTTCGTCCAGCAGGTCCTTGCGCGGCGTCATCGTCCAAGCAGCGCCTGTGTCCAACACCCAATAGTCTAGGGGGTGCAGCTCTGCTCCAACTTTGGCAGAGGCATCTCCTTGCTCCCCCTTGTCTCCCACATGGAAGAATTGGCCCGCGGTGCGCTCCTTCTTCTTCTCCGCACCGCCGTTGCCCTTCGGGTTGTTGTCGGACGAATCAGCGACCATGTTGGCGCCGTTTTTCTGGTTCCTCCGCGCGCCGCCATCCTGGTGACGATTCTGGGGGGTCCATCCATCGGGTTTCTTATAGCACAAAAACCAGGGGTGCCCTTCCTTCTCACAATACCAGCAACTCCCTTTCATTTTGCCACCAGCACCCGACTTGCCCCCACGTCCAGATTTCGCACCGCGACCCCAACCGGTACCTCCTTGTTGGTTGTTGGAGTCGTCGTCTTTCTTTGCACCGCGTCCAGCACCACCGAAGCCACGTCCTCTGCCATGTCGGCTCCCTTGCATCCCGTAGCCGCTGCTGCCGTCGTCTCCACCCCTCAGTTGGCGGCGACGGAAGTCCTCCTCCAGAATCTTCGTCCGCACCCACTCGAGCGTCCACAAGCTCTGGTTCTGCGGCAGGCTCAATCCGCTCGTGAATTGAAGCCACGATTCTGGCAGCAGCGAGAGCATCTTCAAGCACTTGGTCTGCTCCGGGTAGGTGATTCCCGCGGTCGCCAACTTCGCGTAGAGGTCGCGCATCTTGTCCAGGACTGGTTGCACCGGCTCTCCCTCGCTCAGGCGCAACGCGGACAGCTCCCTCTCCAGCATCAACGTTGCGACAACGGAGGTCGGGGCGTGCAGCTCCTTCAACACGGTCCACGCCTTCGGACCGCATTCAACCTCCGGCAGCAGGTGCATGACGTGGTGACGCTGGTTCAGCTCCAAACTCTGCGACATCAAATAGTAGCCAGCCGAGGAGCGCTCGTCCCAATCTTCCTGCAGCGTGGGGTCACTCGGTCTAGGCTCCTCCCCAATCATTAGTTTCAGCAAACCGATCTGACGGAAATATAATTGCATTTTCCAGGCCCAATCATCATAGCCCTCACCATTGAACTTCTCGACGGTGAAATTCTTCAGCACCTCCTTGACAAGCGAGCCCTGGTTTGTTCGCGCTCCCCTTGGCGCTGAAAGACCAGAATCTTGGCTGCCGCTACGATCTTGGGCTGAAGATTCACCAGCTCCCGCCGAGGTGTTGCCCGCCATAGCTACCTATAACGAGGATCACTATAACACAGCTCTGATACCAGCTTGTTGGTGTAAGGGCCTAATAAACTCAAGCTATTAGGACTTAATCAAACTTAAAACCTCTCCTCGGGGTCACCTCCAAGGGTCCCTGGGTGCCTGGTACAAGACCAGCCCCTATCCTCGGGTCCGAGTTTGTAGAGAGAGGGATCAAGAAGGACTTAGTCAAAACAGCAAGAGTACCTTGAACGTCGCGCAGCGTGCCGTGCAGACCGTCGGTCGGATTAAGCTGAGAATTCGCTATATCGAAGCTCGCTCCAAGAGCTTTAAAATGAGCCAAGTTGCCTCGCGAAAAGTTCTGCCATCACTAAGTTATGGCTCGGACAGCGTTTGCCTAGCGTTGGAGTGCTAGCATACTAGCGTTGACTCGGGTAGCATTCCGCCGTCGAATAGCGCAGAAACGAAATTCCAGTGAGGAAGGAATTCGCTTGAATCAATTTGACTATGTTCAGGTACAAACAGAGAAGGATTAAATAGTTCTAGCTAGCAAGGACCTTGGGAATCAACCTGGGAACAACCAGGGATGATCCCAAATAATTCCAAGCAACAGAACCAACCTGGCTGGACAAAATAGCAGGTGGTAGGTTGGTAAACAACCTCTGGTTCTGTTTTTCCAACCTGGGAAAACAACAACCAGGTTCAGGTTCTAAAAACAGAACCTGTTTTGTCTTTGCCCAACCAGCCAAATGCTGGTTCCGCTGGTTTCCCCTGGCCTTGTAGCATGCAGATACAGACAAACAACATCCAACCTTCACCTAAATTGTACCCCTATAGTGCCTTCCCTACTACACTATAGTTAACCAAACAAAACAGTACAATTCCGAGTTGGATAGAACTGAATCTGCGCAATCAACTCAACCGAACTGCAAAGCTTCCATCTTGGGTTCCTTTGCGAGCTCGTCCTTCCTGCTTGCACTGTTCATAGCGCATACAATGTTGTGCCAAAGCGCACATTGCGCGAGTACCTGCAAATGCATCAAGCGAAAAATGCGAAAGCAAACAAACACACGAACACACCATTCACACGCAAATGCATTCGCACACGCATTCTCGTACAAACAGACGGCAGGATGTCGTGCAATGTGCATTTGCACCCAACACCTCTTAGCATCCTTGCACGCTATGTCGCTCCTGGCCGTCACAGGAAGGAGCACATGGATGCCGCTAAGAGGGTGTTGCGCTACTTGTGCAGTACGTCGGGCATGGGGCTAGTGCTTGGAGGGCGAGACCGAGTTGTACTTACTGGACACTCAGACGCTTCTTGGGCGGATGACCAGGCTACTCAGCGGTCGTCTCAGGGTTACACCTTCAGCCTTGGCTCCGGCTCAGTTTCTTGGCGTTCTACACGCTCTTCTTCTGTTCTCAGCTCCAGTTGTGAGGCTGAGATCTACGCCACAGCCATGGCTGCCCAGGAGCTACGCTGGCTGACCTACCTGCTGACCGACTTGGGGGAGCGGCCTCGTTCTCCTCCAGTGCTGTACGTCGACAACCAGGCTGCCATTGCCTTGTGTGAGGAGCACAGACTGGAGCACAGAACGAAGCACATCGCCCTGCGGTACTTCCTTGCTCGAGAGCTGCAGCAGCGTGGTCAGCTTCGTCTGCGTTACGTGGCCACTGAGGCCAACCTTGCGGATGTGTTCACCAAGGCGCTTCAGCCTTGTGACCATCAGCGTTTCTGTACTCTTCTAGGCCTTGTGCCTGCTGGACCCCACTTGCTTACTTCTTGACTCTGCTTGTACTGTGATCTTTATATATATGCCTGCATGTTTACACTTGCTAGGTTGTTATCACTGTTTCTCTTGTTATATTATCAACCTGCATAAGAACTGGTCTTGTGACCACTTGCTTGTGCTCGGAATTTGTGTGGTATCCTTGAGATCCACCCTGAGCTTGTTTTGCTTTGCTTTGACTGGTCTTGTGACCCCTTGCTCTCCCCCACTTTGCCTATGGGGGTGTGTCAAACATTATATGTGTTGTGCTTGTTTAGGCTGCAGTGGGTTAGCCTATAGGGGGTACACAATTCTAGGGTTAGGTACTTGTACTCATTTCACTGCTAGTTCACTCATTCCTCGTTCAGTTATTCTGACATTACTTTCTCCGTAGATTAATTTATCTCTCACCTCCAGCACCGTACTTTGTATACCTAGTTATACATCCCATTTTCTCATCATTTCATTGAACATAGTCAATTCTTCTTGTTTATCTAACACCAGCACGAGCGGGGCGTCCGCAACGTACAGCGAGCCAAGAGGTTGCCCAACTGCCGCGGTCCCCACAAATGACAGCTACGCAAGGGGGGCGCCGAACGGAACGGCGCCTTTGTGGGCCCCTCACGCCTTGGCCGGTGCCATGGCGGGCCCCGTGCTCACCCGCTCACCCGCTCGCCCATTTCTCGAGGGGCGACCGCCCTGCTTGCTTGCCCACTCAACGATGCTAAGTATCTAAAGTTGGGCTTCTGGGTGACGATGTTGGCTGGCCTACATGCACTGGACAACAAAATGGTTACACGGATAAAAAGGGTTTGAGTTCATGGAAGCTAGGCTGACCTGAAATGAGCAAGTGAGGTCAAATGTTAGAGAGTATAAAAAGCTAGAGATTAAGGTTGAAGGTATGAGAGAATGACGAGTAGGGTCAAGGAGTGTGAGAAGCTGAATATGTTTAAGAAATATGAAAGATTGGTTGGTAAATTCATAAAATCCTGAGCGGGGTTCTAGAGTATGAGAAACTTGATAATAAGGGTCTACAGCACGAGAAACTAGAGGCAGTGGTGAAAGAATTGGACAGCTTGAACACGCGGGAGGGTTGCAGGATAAAGTTGAGAACTTGATTGCTAGAGAAAAGAAAGCGGATTTGCTGGAGGCAAGAGTCAAATATCTCGAGGTGTTTGTCGACGGGGGTTGTGATAGGCTCCGTCCTTGCCGACTTCGTGGTCGGGTGTGCGGGGGATGCAGCCGACCTGCAGCAGTGGGCGAGTTGGTCGACGGGGCTGGTTGACCTACACGAAAACCACTGCAAGGGTGCCGACTTTGGGTGGGCGACAACTTCAGGTGGTCGACTTGGACGTCGACTTGGTGACGCCGACTTGGGGCAGCCGGCTAGGGTGGTCGGCTGACCGCTGTGCTGGTCGACCTGGAGTTGGTCGACCAGGAGTGTTGGTCGACCAGGTTTGGTCGACCAGAAGTGGTCGTCGACCTGCGGGGGTGACGGGCACAATGAGGAGCTGGTCGACAAGTGGTTGCCTGGTCGACCAGGTTACCCGGTCGACGAGGTTCTGCGGAGAAGTGCGACGGTCTCCCAGGTGGTTTTGGCAAGACCGGCCTCGGTAGTGGGACCTCGGTAGTGGTATCCCGAGGTCGACGTGGCTGATCAGGTGCAGTCGTCAGCACGAGAACGATTTGGTGTGCGCGCTGTGCAAGTGACGGCACACCAATCATCTAGGAGCACCTGCAAAGCGGGTGCGCTGCTGTCCTGCGGGTGGGACGTTGGCACGCCGTCGACTTGCGATGTTGGCATGCCGTCAAACAACAGCGTTGGCAGGCTGCGACTCTGCACTGCTGGAGCGCGGTCGACCGTGCTGGAACGCGGTCGACAGTGCTGCGTTGGCAGTCGTTTGACTGGCATGCTAGCTCTGATGTTGTCATTCTTGCCATTGTTGTTGCAATTATTCTGAACTTTAATTAAGAAAACTCTTGCTAGTGAAACTTTTGCCAGATTTCCCCGTGAATGCCTGAGTAGTGTAAGCACGAGTTTACGACTAAGTGAACAAACACAGAGATCACTCTCACACTCGTGCCTAGCCCGTAGTCTAGCTCCCGTTGATCAAGTTATCTCCGCACAGTACCGTGCTATATACGCGTAGAAAAAAATCTCATCTCCTCGCCCTTTCATTGATCATAGTCAACACATTTCTTCCCCATTTACCTCATCGTTACTTAGAAGTTGTGGGTGGTTGTCATAACCACTCCAGCACCAACATTGGCAGGGCGTCCATCGCGTACAGTGCGCTGAGAGGTTACTCCGCTGCCTCGTCACGCATGGCCGCCAGCCCGCCCCTCGACCATGCATGGGGGGGCGCTGCCCAGCCCAGCGCCGCCGCAGGCCATGTGCACACCCGCCCGCCAATTGCGCGAAGGGCCTCCGCCTTGCCCGACGCTGACGAGGCCCTTCTCGCACGGCCTTCCCGCCCACCTGCTTCTGCAGAACCAACAAACTGAAACCGGGCTTCTTTGTGAGATGTTGGTCGCTCTACGTGCAGTAAATTTTGATATGGTCACTCGGGTAAAATGGTTTTGAATTCATATCAATTAGGCTAACCGAGCATGTGCAACTGCCGAGAAGGGTTAAATAGTATAAGTAGTTGCTGATTAAGAATAGGAAGTATGAGAAACTTGAGAGAAGTGTTAAGGAAAATGAAAAATTAGAGATTGGTGGTCTACAACATAAGAAATAGGAGGCACAAGTGAAAGAAACAGATTGGTTGAACGCGGGAGTGGGAGTGTTGACGGAATAAAAGTTGAGAACACTATTTGTGGAAGCAAGGGTGAAAGACCTCGACGTGTTAGGGAAAAAAAAAACACAAATTTCACAGGTTCAGATGGTGACAAAACTTAGTAGGAAAGTAGCAAATCTGGAAAAATGGATTCAGAAAGCTAGACCTTTGTAGATTTGATCATGAATTTGAAAAAAAAAATGTTTTTGAAGCAAACAAACAAACATGGAGGAATTACAATGGGAATCATTATCTTCTCATGCGCACAATCTCGTGCACACGTGTGAGGGTGAAAAGCCGTGGAGATGCAGATATATGTGCATTTCTTTGTGACAGCATGCACACATAGGAGCAACCACATACGGGAACATGCACGCAACATGCCGTTGCCATATGAAACCTATTCAATAAGATTCATTTGCGATATTGCCTTTCATTCGTACTCAAACAGCCATGTCACAAAAAAACAAATTCATGAGTTCTTAATCTAGTCAGATGATGCAACATCGCAACATGTTCCGGCAGCAGCTGAGGAACAACCAGGCGCACACGGCAGCGGAGTTCGCTGGGCAACAGGGCGCTCAGGGCAACGAGACGCGAAGAGCGCGCAAGGCAGCGGGGTTTAAGGTGCTCAGTGCAGCAGGGCGCAGGTGCGGCAGCGAGGCACGCCTGGCAGCGTGGCGCGCGGTGCATAGGTACGTAGGGCAGCGGGGCGTGCAGTGCAGTGATGCGCAGGGCAGCGGGGTGCGCTAGGCAACAGGGCGCGCAGGGCAGTGGGGCGCGCAGGGCAGTGGGCCGCGCAGGACAGCGGGGCGCGCTGGGCGCATAGGGAGTGCTGTTTTTATTTGGGTAATTACCCTATTTTCAAAGTGTTTTCAGACCTTTATATTACTCTTAAAACGTACTATTCTAGGTACTATCCCCCTTAGTTGATACTAAGACTCTCTCTTCGGGGTCATCTCCGATGTTCCTTTGGTACCGTAAGCCCCCGGATATAACGCATGCCTCGGATAAGCGCAGGTCGCTAATAAAAGGCATTGAGCACCATGGAGTCGGGCGGAACGGAAGGTTCTCTTGCACGAGCCAATAGTGGAAGCCAAGATACTGGGGGTTCAGCGCCAAGGGGAGCGCGGATCAGCCAGGGCCCACTATTGCGATAGGTGCTCAAGAACTTCACCGTCGACAAGTTCAACGGTAATGGGTACGACGATTGGGCGTAGAAAATGCAGTTGTACTTCCATCAAGTCGGATTGTTGAAGATAATGATTGGAGAGGAGGAGAGGCCGAGCGACCCGGTCCTGCAAGGGGAGTGGGACGAGCGTGCATCGGCCGGTTACTACCTCCTATCGCAAACGTTGGAGCTGAACCAGAGAGCACATGTGATACATCTGCTTGGGGAAGCTGATAACGGATCACGAGCATGGAAAGTGCTTAAGGAGCTGCACGCGCCAACATCGGTGGTTGCTACGCTTATGTTGGAGCGTGAGTTGGCTTCATTGCGCCTGAGTGAGGGGGAGCCGATTCAGCCGGTCATTGACAAGATGAGGGAGCTATACGCGAAGCTCCAAATTGCGGGCATCACCTACCCGGAGAAGACGAAGTGCCTACGCATGTTCTCACTGCTACCCGAGTCTTGGATAACGTTCACAAGTGGGCTAAGTTTGCCTCAAAACCAGGAATCGTGGACGCTTGAGTGGGTGCGTACCAAGATCTTGGAGGAAGACTTTAGGAGGAGGCAGCTGTGGCACAGTGACGATGGGGACGGTGGCTACGGGGTGCAAGGCAGCGGATGGCGTAAGGGAAAAGGCCGGGATGAAGATGAACACGGGCGTTATGGAAGCAGGCGTGATGATAAGAAGCCAAGCAACAAGCGTGGTGAAGAAGAAGATGATGATGACGAGGACGATCGTGGTGACTACCACAAGTTCAAGGGAGCTTGTTGGTATTGCAAGAAGACGGAAACGTCCCAAGTGGTGGCCGCCCGAACAAGGGGAGAATGATGGAGATAAGAACCAATCTCATGGAGTTGGTTATGTAGCAGAGACCGCAAATAACGGGGGAGATGATTGGGAGAAAGAACCGGGACAGTTCTTCCATGTGCAAGGGAACGGGGGGAGTGAGAATGCAACTGCCAAGGAGGAAGCAGTGCCTCATCCTCTCAACAAGTGGATTCTTGACTCCGGAGCGGCTTATCACATGACCCCAAGGGCGGACCTGCTAGACAAGGTTGGGAAGACGAGCATCACTGAAATGAACTCAGGATGCGGTCACAAGATGAAAGTGATTGGAGTCGGCAAGGCGGCCTTCGAAGGAGCTGACGGGAAGCCAATGATTTTGGAGGACGTGCTCGTGGTGCCGGAGATAAAGGGGAACCTGGTCTCCTTGAGGAAGATGGGGATGTCAGGTGTTTGCACGGCCACCAATGGAGCTGAAACGTTCAAGGGGAATCTCGGTGATCGAGTGTTGTGGGACTTACATGAAGACAAGGACCTGCATAATGAGTTGTGGCATGTGCCCGTGGTGCCATGGCGTGAGATGGTACGTGAAAAGGAGAATGGGAGCTGTGGATGTAAAGGGGAGTGTGTTGCAAGGGCTGCTGCAGAAGTGAAGGAGCTGAAAGCTACCGTGGCGAATCTTGTGAAGGAGTTGCGCAAGGTCAATGCTCGACTTGCAGCAGCTGAAAATGGAAAAGCAGCAGTGGCTGATGAGAAGAATGGTGCTGAGACCAAGGGGAGTAATTGCAAGGTTGCTGCTGTGCACAAGGAAAAGGGAGTGCACAAGGATGACACTCGTAAGCAGCAGAAACTTCATGTGATGGTGCAGCCGAGGGTTGGAGCTGCTACGGAGAAGAAAATGGTGCCGAACTCTGCAAGCGTTGTGGCTGATGGGTTGAAGGCGAACGGAGAACCCAAAGTGAAGCTGAGTTCGGGGGAAGCTGGAATTGTGGGGAAGCATAAGAGTGCCTTCCCAAAAACTGGAGTTGGGATCGGCAACAAGGTAGAGCTGGTCGAGGGGGAGCAGTTTGACATTGATGCTTTGGTTCCAATGCCAACGGTGAAAGAGGTGAAGGCAATTGTTGGACCCACTGACGGTGGTTGTGGGTTTGAATAGTCGGCAGGTTGAGGGGGGGTTTGTTGAGTGCAAAATGCGGTTTGCACGTCAACCTACCGCCTATTCGCCGACGGTAAAGGAAAATGAGAGTTCTTGGTTTAAGGTAATTTGTGGAGTGTGAGGAGCGCATTTGCGTGCTTTACATTTGTGAATTTACGGTTTGTGAATCGCCCTAGCGGTTCATAAGTTATGTGTATTTTTGTGTGTGAGTGCATTTCATGAATGTTCATGAGTTTCCGTGAGAGCGCATGAAATTTCGTGAGTTTCGGTAAGTTCGCGTGAGCTCGCGATTGTTCATGAGTCTGCATGTGAGCTCATTGTTTCTCATGTGTTTTCGTGAGTTTCCATTACAGTTTATGAGAGTTCATATTTTTCGTGTGTTTTAGAGTGTGGCGACTGCTTTGCCACTTTGACATTTTCGTGCTGGTCAAGGTCAACCGAGCGCGAAGGTCAGGGCTTGCGCGTGGGGTCCTAAAACGTGCGTGTGGTCCCTCAGGCCTCGCGCGTGTGCAGTCGCACTGTTGCGAGCGTGGCAGGACCCACGATCGCAACAGGACAGGGCACTTTATTGCCCTGTCCCGCATGGGACAATGCTTGACCGAGGGTGCTCAAGATCTCGGTTGGAAAACCGAATCTTACGCTGACTTGGCGAACATGAACTTTCGCCAGAAAGTCACGCTACATTGCGTGATCATTTCGACAAGGTACAAAACGGTAAATTCCGTTTTGCAACGAGAAAACGGTTTTCCCACACGAGGCTTCATGAATGTTAACGAGAATTCATGAGTGCTCGCGAGGGGAGTCAGCAGCGGCGTTTGGATCAAGTACAACTCGAATTCAGTTATTCTAAGGAAGCGGATCAAGCCAAATGCATGAAGTTTGACAACCGTTTTACCAAGACAACATGGCAAAGTCATCTATTCTAGTTTTATAACTGTTTTATGTCCGCCTTGTGTTTGCTTTATTTTGTGCTCTAGTGCACGCGACTTCTTTAACGCTTGTTAAGTTTCTCTACAAACACGGACCCTTGGATAGGGGCTGTTTCTACCAGGTACCCAAGGACCCTTGGAGGTGACCCCGTGGGGACTATCTGGCGTTGATTTAAAGGTGTCCCTTATAGCTGTCAACACCCACCGCCCCAAAAACACGTGTTTTATTATATGACAGGCTTTTCCGGGGCCTGACGATACCTGACCAAGGTCAGCCCCTATCTAAGGGTCCGAGCGTGTAGAGAGAAAGTTGCCATATCAGGTGAGGTGCAGTAGCAGTCGTGACTTTCTTGTCGTTGTCAAAACGGTGTATCGCGGTTGTGAACAGGAGTTGTTGTTGGCCTCGTCCTCACTTGGGCGGAGCCGACTTCGTGGTCGAGTGTGCGGGGAGCGCAGCCGATCAGCTGCAGTGGGCGACGCTGATTTGGGTGCGCAGGTTGACGAGCTTGTCGATCGGCTCAAGGCCATTGCCACACCACCGACGACGGGGAGCCGGCGGTCGAACAGACGTGATGGTCGTCGAGGGTGGAGGTGTCGATGTCAACTTAGACAGGGGAGCTGGGGGGCGCCGAGCTGAAGGGCGCCGAGCTGAAGGGCGCCGAGTTCGGGAGTTCGATTTGGGATCGACCTGGCACGGCGTCGACTTGGCGACTTGGGTGGTCAATGAGCAAGTACAACTTTTGGTCGACTTTCCCTGAACAAGTCGATGCCGACCTGGTGGTTTCCAGGTCGACCAGGTAACCAGGGCGACAAAGCGGAGGGGTGTGACGGTTGCTCAGATGGTTCTTGCGTGGCAGACCTGGGTGTGGTATCCCGAGGTCGACGTGGAGGATCAGGTGCAGACGTGGGCACGTGGTCGGCTTGGCGCCTGCGCTGTGCACGTGACAGGGCACGGGGCGCCAATCATCTGCGAGCACCTGCGAAGCGGGTGCGCTGCTGTCCTGCGGGAGCAATGTTGTCCAGCCGCAACATTGCAGCATTGGCACACCGTCGACCTGCAGCATTGGCTGACCGCGACTTTGCCTTGATGGAGCGCGGTAGACCATGTCGTGGTTGCGCGGGCAGTCGACCAGCTTGCTTGCTAGCTCTGATGTAGTCTTCCTTAACAATGTTGTTGCTATCATTGTTCTCAACTTTTCCTAGTGAAACTCTTGCCAATTTCCCCCGTGACCTAGCGAGTAGTGAGCACACAAGGAAACGACTGAGGAACGCTGAGATCACTCCCACCCCGTACCTAGCCCGTAATCTAGCTCCCATTTGATTAAGTTATCTCCATGGTGCTGTGAGCGTGGACCCCTATTGTGCCGACTTTAGCAGTCACCTATTGTGTTAGTATGCCGGCAGCTGTGCGTTTGCCACCATGGTTGGCGTAGGTGATGCTGGTGTCGCAGACACCCTAGAGGCACGGCTGGAGGATGCGAGGAGATGCCACAAGGATGGCGAGTACGGGGAGATGCTCCCCTTGGCGGTCGTCGGGGCGGGCATCCGCACTGTGTGGGCGGAGAAGCACCACCCTCATTCGGCCTCTCATCGACCGGTGAACAACGCCGGCAGCAGTGCGGGAGGCATGTCGTCGAGGCAGAGAGGAGTAATCTACGCCGATGAAGTCGGCGGCATTCAGCCGCGAGCTGCAGCGGCTGCAGGGACCTCACAGGGCGACGTCTTCCATACTCTACCGCTACCGTCATCAAACCCCTCTGGCTGCGCCATGAAAATCTCCTCCACAAGGATTCCGTTGAGGAACGCCGTTACGATGTCCAGCTGCTTCGCTGTTAGGATCGCGGCTCCCGCGAGTAGGGTTCGCAGCGTCGTCGGCTTCACCACAGGAGCAAAACACTCATTGAAGTCCACCTTGTGCTTCTGCTGGTACCCCTTGGCCACCAGCCTAGACTTGTAACGCTCGATCTTGCCGTCGGCATTCAATTTGATTTTGAAGAGCCACTTGGACGTTATCGCCGTACGCCCCTCCGGTAGCTCCACCAACTCAAACGTGTCGTTCTCATCGATGCCCTTTAGATCACTCTCCATTGCCTTCTTCCCATCCTCAGCATCATCACTCTCCAAGGCCTCCTTGAGAGTTGCTGGTTCTCCCGGCATCTCCACCGGAGAGAAGAACACGAAGGCACACTCCTCGTAGTCACTCTCCTCGTCATCTCCGATCATCATTGCTGCTCCAGCCAAATCCGTCTTGCCTTGCTTTCCCGGTGCATCATAGGTCAGCCTATTAGGGGCTTGAACCTTCGTCTTGACCCTTCCTTCCTCCTCGGCTGCAGGGACTTGAAGGCCTTGGCGTTGCTGCAGTGTGTCTCAATTCCGTGGAGCACTCGTAGTGCGAAGGGTGTGTCGGTGCACGCTCGCTCACTTGCTGCACCTCCTCCTCTTCTTCCTCTGCATCCTTGGCCTCCTCTCCCCCATTCACAAGGGAAGATTGCCTTGTGGTGGTGCTGCCACTGCTCAGCTCCAAAGGCAGCTCCACATGCTCCAAGCCGGAACTCTTCACCTCCCCAAACCGCACGCCTATCTTCGCCTCATTCTCCGCCTTCCAATCCTTGTACATGAAGTTCTCCATGAACTTGCAGTCCCTGCTCACCATGAACTTCTTGGTGAATGGGTCTTAAAGAAGCCACCCCTTTCTGTTTTGCGCCATGCCCAAGTGCACGGCCCACACCGCCTTGGCACCAAGCTTGTTGTGCCGAAGATGCTTAGGCACGAGTGCCATACAGATGCACCCGAACACCCGAAGCATATCCACCTTTGGCTTCCTTCCAAGCCACTCCATATAGGGAACCCATTTTTCTACTCCCACATGAGTCAAAACTCTGTTCTTGGCCACACACGCGCTCCGCACCGCATCAGGCCAGAAATAGTCGGGTAGCCCGGCTTCAATGAGCAACCCGCGTGTTGCCTCCGTAATCGTCCAGTTCGGCGATGCCGTTCATTAGCAGGGGAGTATGGCATGGTGAGGGAGTGCCGAATACCATTCTTCTTCAGCCACAACCCAAACTCCTTGCTCAGGAACTCTCCCCCTCGATCGGTGCGGATTGACTTGACTAGACGGTCTTGTTGCCGCTCCACCATCGGGAACCAATCCGTCTTCAACGTTTCAGCCACGTCGCTCTTCTTGGTTAGCACGTACATCCAAGTCATCCAAGTGTAAACGTCCACTATGGTGAGGAAATATTCAGCTCCAGCAGCTCCAAGCTTCAGGGGGCCCACCACGTCCATCACCACCTCATCAAGCGGTGCCTTTGCCGTTGCCTCCGAACTAGGGAACGGAAATCGGGTGAACTTGGCTTGCAAGCACGTTGGGCAGCCAAGCACCTCATCGGGCTCCCCCTTCACACGTATGCCAGCAACCATCTGGTTCTTCACTAGCTGCTGCAAGATGGGTAGGGCCACATGCCCCATGCGCCGATGCAAAGTCAACCAATCACACTCCCCCGTAGACAAATTCGGGTTGGAGAATGCCGTGCTCGCAATAGCGCCCCACATGCTCTCTCCGTAGTCCTCCTCCGCTGCTGCCTTGGGGTTCTCCTCACCCTTTTGCTGCTCCTTGGCTGCTGCACCACTCTCCTTAGGTTCACACAGCTTGCTGGTCCCTCCATGTTTGCTCTTCTTGAGCTCGTTCTCCTTGGCACGACCGTTCGCGCCAACGCCGCTACCAACCGCTTCACCCTTGGTGCTGATGCTTGCTGCCACTTGCCTCTCTTTAGGCATGGGGACCACAGAGATTTGCCACATCTCATTTTAGACGTCCCTATCCTCATGAAGGTCCCAAAGAATCCGGTCGCCAATCCTTGCGGTGTAGGTCTTGGCTCCCTTCGAGTTCGTGTCCATGCCGGCCTTTGCCAACCGCCGCACGGAAATCAGGTTCGCAGCAAGGCTGGGCACCCAAAGCACGTTCTTGAGGCCCACCATCTTCCCATCAGCACCCTTGAACATGGCCTTGCCCATGCCTTTCACCTCCGCTCGCTGCCCCAAAGCCGATGTGACATGCTTCACCGGTGACGG